ATAAAAAATGTATATAGGTATATGTGTATAAACAATTTACATATAATGCAAAGCCAAATAACAGTGGTAGTGGATGGTGTACACATACAATGGGACCTAATAGCCCCTCAACAAACGAATAGTCACTACCACTGGCCAAATAAAATATGAAATATTAGTAAAAATTCAAGAATAGTCCGTATCATAGCCAAAGTCTTAACACAAAAAGGTAGTAATTTAAATTTAACTAGTTTGACTAAAATGAGATACAAATTAGAATATTGTAAAGATATCAAACTTGATAAATCTGTTACAATTCTATTAAATATATTACATCCAAAAAGTGAGTTGTTCCATACTCATTATATCATATTTAAAAAAAAACCACATTAAATTTATGTCCCTTCCCAATCTCAATTACATTATCTCAAAAGTATGCTAGTATAAAAATTATATCAAAGCAAATGAGTTCTGGTCAGACTCTCTAAATCCTAGTTAAAAACCTAATAAAAACATGTAATGTATTTTCCCTCTCCCAATAATATCAAAATTATATTTTATTAAAAATTAAATTATCACAAAGGTATTTACCTTATCATATGCATATGAAACGGGTATACTACTAAATAGGAAGTAACAAAAGTTAAACAGTAAATAGATAATAACAAAGTAAATAGATAGTAACAAAAAAAAATTACACAGTCAAACAACTTATCTTTACAGCCCCATAAGTCCATAGGAAAATTCCTCTTGGCACGGCTAAATCAGTTTGTGGCTGTAAAGACGAATCCTGGGCACAAAGCCACAACCAGTCACTGGTCTCTGGGTGACAGCAAAATCCACGGGTTTGCTAACTATTCAAGAAATTTAGTTACTTGAGTCCTTGAGGGAATATTCTGAAGAGAATATCCTCAAGTGAAGTGACGGAATCTAAAATTATTTTTTTATTTAATAAATACAATTCAATAGGTGTAGCAGCATGGATTGACTGCACCAAAACAAAACATCAAAACATTAGGTTATGTCAACATGTCAGAACTTCAGAATTTACTTCGTAGGCATGCGCAGAATATAGAAGGCTGTCCAATATTTGTCGAACCTTTTTATATTCCACCAAAACAATTAGATACAAAATGGGAACCAAAAAAACTTAATGATAACGACGTGGAATAAAACAGAATTTAAGTTTAACTATATAAAAAAAATGACCTTCTGTTCTTTGCAAGTAAATCAAGGAAATTTTATATTTAAATTATTTCGGAACTCAAAAATAAATCTCTAAAGAAATACTAAATACAATGATAAATTTGATTATATGATAAGGAGATAATACGTATGAAATGATTTACTTACATGGAGCTGCAGCACGCCAAAAAAAATCTTCCTTTTTATGTGGAACTCATAAATGAATATTGATTTTATTAGAAAAATTTCTTATTATTATTATTATTTATGAATTATATATATTTTTTTTATTCTTGTCCTAGATTTTATTTGCCCCAATTCCGTCACTTTGAACGTGAGAAAAAGACTCACCGGTTGGCGTGTCTGCGTTTACGAGTTCTGACCAAAACTGAAACTTCGCTTCCGCATAAAATCGATCTTCCTTTCAAAGCGATAACAGCGCGTGGGGAAAAATGTCGATTTAAAATCGATCGTAGGCGGGTAATAAAAATTTCTTGAGGGGTTTAAATTGGACTAGTCAGTAGATTTCTTAAGGGGTTAATCAGTAGCGTAAACGCTACAAAGTAATTAAAATAAAATTAGTAATGTGTTTGGCGACCCCGTAGCTGAATACACGTTTGTATACGTCTGGGCATTAACAAAATGAGATGATCGATGTCTGCTTATGTCACCTCGTTCCAACAACTTGAACTTTATGTATTAATTGTGGTAAATAAAGTCTGTGGAGGATGGTGCAAAGTGGACAGCCGCCTTACCATCATATCTAATACATGTTCTATTTAAACTTAAAGGACGGGGTGGCCAAGTCAAAACATTAACGGCAGCTTCTTGGAGAAAGTCCATAGTTATAAAAAATATGGGTACGCGAGTTACCTTGCTGAAAAAGGACGTCTCGACGGCTGTCGAGATAAGGCAGTAAACTGATTTGTAAGATGTCATCAACATAACGCGCAGTTGTCATATTACCTCGAATAAACACAAGTGGTGATAGGCTATCATAGACAATAGACCTACAAACCATTATTCTTACTGTCCTGTGTACATGCCTCTCAACAGCAAACCCAATATCTCATCGCTCTCCACGGCGGCGTCTTACCATTCTACGATCATCATGCATTCCTAAACAGAAGTGTGATTCATCGCGGAATGCTACATTACGCCATTCTGCCACCCAATGCTGCCGTTCTTTGCACCAATTCAAACGTAGATGACAGTGGTCCACAGTTAAACCAAGCACTAGTCGTGGACAAAATAAAACCAGTTCAAAGGCTCGAATGCGACGGTATAGTGTACGCATACTAACATGTCTACCTACTACTCCAAACCATTGGTCAGAAATTTGACGCGTAGTAGTAAAATGGCCTCGGAGAGCCAGTAGTCTAAAGCACCTATCTTGACGCTCTGTGGTACGCCTCGGTTGACCAGTTTGTGTTCCTCTACCTTAGTTTGTCCACACACGACAAACACGCATACTCGTCATTGCCGTACAATTAACACGACGGCGGCCAATTTCGCAATACGGCAAACCCATATCTCTATACGCAGTAATTCTACTCCTGTCAAAATCGCTAATATGATGGTAATTTTGGTGTCTTCTAACTCGAGGCATTTTCTTTCACTAAATACAATTAATTGATATAAGGTTGAATGCTGGAATAAATGAACTTTAATAAAATGAAAGGCAGATATCGAGCACAATTTTATTAATTAAATCTTGCCCAAGTACTTTCGCTTTCTAAAGCATCATCAGGGGCATCTGAAATAAGCCAAGAAACGTTTTTTTTTTTATGAAGAAATTGATTAACTTCGATAAAAAACTCGAAGTTAATGAATGATAAAAGTTTTTTTTGTGATTAACGTTTTAGACTTACTTTGTCAATTTTTTGGGCTATCCACAAGCGCAAAAATGTAATAAACATAACATTAAACATAAAATCGTACAAACATTACACTAAACAAGGACAAACAGTTTGAAATTATTTAAACATTAATCGAAGCTACATTCGTGTCGGCAACAGGAGGGAGAATGGTATTAACGGAAATGTTAAGGTGACATGTGACATATGACGGCTTGGACAGGCAGTCACAAACATGGAAATGTGATCAGCATACATTAAAATTCTATGTGTGTAAGCATTGACCAAAGGTCCAACTGACACTACTATAGGAAATCAACTGATGAAATATGACATATAAAATATTTTAATTTAACTAAATTGCATAATCCAGATCTCACACTTACAACTATCTATAATACTTAATTAGGTTGTTAGTTTAAGAGCAAATGAAGTGGACATAAAGTGTGAATGCAAATATACTGAGGAAAACAATTAGACTGAGGAATAATAAATAGAAAATAGTCATTCTGTTGCCAAAAAATAAGTTTAAGAAATTATTCTTTCTAGGTCTAACATTTCTAATATCACTGAGTATATAACGAAGTGTAGAAAATACACCATATATAAATATGTATATATATATATATATATATATATATATATATATATATATATATAGAAAAGAAATTTAATCTCTGCAGATAAGTTAAATAGTAAACTCGTAAATATTGGGGAAATCTGCAAGAAAGACTCTAATGAGTATCAATTGTTTCGACGAACGTTTTCGCCAAAGAGAATTAATTTCGATTCTTCTTCAGGGCTGAAAGAGAATAAATTATAATTAGCTACCATATATTATCTAGTAAAAAACATTATTGATCTTACCGTAACTTAGAATTGTTGAGTTAGGATATTAAAAAACTTTGCTAGTAACAATATAGTGGTGTTTTTTGTTACTATGTGCAAAAAAAGTTTTTTTAACGTTGGAAATGTATGGTAGCTTTGAACTTAAAACGCAAAGGGTTACCCATGGTTAATCGAAAAACCCAATGTAACTCTATTTAAAAGAAGTAATTCTTTGAATTGTCGGCAATAACTAAATGTTTAGTTAGAAAGTTTAAATGTGAGGCTCTGTTTTCTTAGAACGCATGTGCTGACAATTCAACAAGTAGTGCTTTTGAATCTTTATGTCGTTAAGGTTCATTGGTAAAACCGAATGAAGTTAAATCCCAGTTTGGGGAAATATTATTTTAGATTTTCTTAATTAAAATTTTATTATAATATATTCTTCATGTAATATTATAATATCTTATTGAGATGTATCTAAGAAAAGCAAGGGATTGTTATTTTTTTAGTTAATAAAAATTATTATTAAAGTAGGTTAGTTGTTAATGGATATATCAGTCAAGTTAGTTATCTGTGATGTAGTATTGGTCTTAGTATCCGAGACTGGGTTCCCACTTAAGACATCTATCCTCCTATCTTAAGACTCCTATCAACAAACATAAATAGAAAGATAAATAGAAGATCCGGGTCACCAAGTTTCCGGGTTAAACTGCGTCGATACGCACTTTAGGGATTCCGGGGTCTCAGTCTCCTAAGCTCCAGGTACTACTACGCTTTATACTAGTCACTGCACTACTGCTACTGGGGACAGCGGACGTGGTTTGTCTCGCCATACTGTCGTTAATGACGTGGTTTAGATGGGTTAATGCGCGAAGAGTTCTGACAGCGAGATTTTGATTCAAAGATAGAACGGACGTTATCGTCTTTATGATAGGTCTCCATGTCGAAGGTAACCGGATGCCGTCATGTCTTTTATTGAGACATTTTGGCCTTTTTTTAATGTCCGTTTCTCGGATAATTCTTGGTTTATTGAAAAAGAAGAAATCTGTAGCAGATGCAGACATTTTTTTGAATTACCTTGCATTTTCCTGTTCCACTCTAGGTCCATTTTACCTTAAACCAATATTTTTAATATGTGCAATATATTTTTAGAAAAATGTCCCCCATTTTATTCAACTGCAACTACCACGTTAACATGTAAAGATATACGTGACGGAGCAGTCCCTTGTGATAAAGCCATTGATGGTACCTATTTAACTTATACTTGCAACGCATACTACGAAATACCAGCAGGAGGTAGAAATGTCCTTTACTGTGACGATGGTGTTTGGGACTTTCCGAAACCTATATGTCAACCAAGTAAGCAGAATTTAATTGTTGTTATATTTAATAGTTGTTTTAGGTCTGGAAATTAAAGTAAAGCGTATTTATTGACTTATAAATATTTTTTTATAGGTTATCCGTCCACATCATACTTTTATTTTATGAATAATAATATTTTGGAAAGAAGGATATAACAAAAAAACTTGGATAAAACAAAAAAAAAATACCAAATTGGTATACACGGTCTGATGGAATAGTAACAGAAGTTTATCGTAGTTCGTGTGTACTATGCATGCATGTACAGTTGCGGTCACGGAATAGTTTACACCTTACTTTTTATATTGTAATACTGTAAAATTGCAGTGTCGTACGGATTTGATAAATGTCAAAGTCAAAAAATTTCAAAACGTCAATGCTTTCGCGAGTGTTCAACAATAAAATAAAAGTATATTAAACTCTTCCAAAATGGTTAGAATACATTTGAATTATGCGCAAAAAGCAAGAGCAATTGCCAAACTCGAAGAAGGTTGGTCACTAAGGCAAGTTGCTGCTGATTTGAACGTGAGTCATATGTGCATATGGAAGATTAAACAAAGATGGGATAATTTTCACTCTATAGCACGGTTGGTCGGTTCAGGAGGGCAGAAGATTTCCACAGATCAACAGGATGAGATGTTAGTAGATTATTTGAGAGAATCTCCTTTTGCCACAGCTCAAAAGGCAAGAGAAGAGGCAGCGTTTCCAGGCAGTATTCGCACTGCACGTCGAAGAATTAAAGCAAGTGGACTGCTAAATTGTGTAGCTGCACGGAAACCTTTTTTGACTGAGGATCACAAGAGGAGACGAGTTGAATTTTGTAATGAATTTATAAACCGCGATGAGAATTTTTGGTCTAGGGTTGTATTTTCCGATGAAAAAGTATTTCAGTCGTATAATAATGGTCGAATAAGAGTTTATAGGCCGAGAAATCATAGGTATGATGAACAGTATACGCATCATTTAAGAAATAGTGGAGGATTCTCTGTCAACGTATGGGGATGGATAAGTGCTGAAGGCCCGGGCGTTTGTTATCATGTAGAGGAGAAGTTAACAGGATTATATTACAAACATATTATTGAGCACACAATGTTGCCATCGGTGATCCAGAGATTCCCCAACAACGACTTTATCTTCCAACATGACAATTGCCCGGTGCATACGAGTAGAATTCTTCGAGAATGGCTAAAAGAAACTGATGTTAATGTTCTTCCGTGGCCTTCCCGTAGTGCAGACTTTAACCCCGTCGAAAATGTGTGGGCAGAGTTAACAAAGAAACTAAATGAAAGAAACCTTAGACCACGGAATAGAATTGAATTATGGGAAGCAATTGAGCAGGCATGGGAAGAGCTTGTTAACTATAACATGAGGGGATTGGTGCTATCTATGAACAGAAGACTGCAAAATTGTATTGACAAGAATGGGGCTTCCACCAAATATTAATTATTATTTATCATTGTTTATCGTTATTTAATATAAAATAGATTTAAAATAAAATGCATATTAAAAAAAAAGACTTCTTTATTTTCGTTATTAAGATCATAATCCATTTTATTCAAAAAACTGTTTTCTATATTTTTCATTTTGTAAAATATTTTGATATTTTAATTTTAATCTACCTATTCTAGCTAGTACACCACTGGCAACGTCACTTTGACGTAAAAGGTGCGTTTAAACGAAGTAAAAATTTAAAAAATGGGCTCCTAGATACGTGAACCTGTAAACTATTCCGTGACCGCAACTGTACCATGCATTTCACAGCTAAAAATATTTATTTTACTTTCTGTATCTAAAACACAAAATCGTATATAAACATTTTCTTTTCCAGGTTCTTTCAAAAACCGTGGTTTTCAAATAAATTTTATTTAAAGTACAAAAAAAAATTTCAAAACAAACTTTTTTCAGATAAAATTACATACATTAGACAACTTGAAAAAAATAAATATTTTGTTGCTTTTTTTCAAAATGGCGGCTCTGAAAATGGCTGTCTAAATTTATCCAATTTGTTGGTCGGTGTAATCAATTCTTAAAAAGCAATCATCCGAAAGCAAAAAACAAATTGGTTTAATTTTCTGTATCGCCTTGGCTATGGTGGGGACTACAATGAAACATTTTCCCTGAAAAAAAAAACAGAATGGCGGACTTTTGAATTTTTCGACCCTTTTTCGCACTGTTAATTGTTTATAAGTTTTTTAAATAAGAATAGATATGTTTGGTTGTAGCACCGACCAAAGAAAAGAGTAAAATACCGTAGAGTTTACCAAAAAAAGCGACTGGTCCAGATAAAATTCTAAACGCAGCTCAAAAATGTCTGTTAGCAAACGCAATTGTATTTTTAACAAGCATCACAAATGCAATACTCAGATACAATTTTGTTTTAAACCGAAAGCAAAGCAAACCCACGTTATTAAAATTCCAAAGCCAGGAAAAAACACGATTCCGAGCAGAACACTCTAGCGAAATACAAGTACTCAGATTAACAGAGTACTTTATTATAAATCTGGATTCAATGACAAGCAGTAGACAGGAGCAGCCTTCCTGGACATAAGTAAAGTCTTCGAAATAGTCTGAAATGAAGGACGGACATACAAAATTAGAAGCTATAGATACAGCGGAGTTATGAGAGGACTAATCTCATCATACTTGAGCGGCCGGAGCTTTAGGGTTTGGATAGGACAAGTCCTGTTACCTCTACTCTATACAATATACATCCTCGATATTCCAACAATACCAGGAATAATACTCAGTCTTTATGCAAATGACACAGAAATTGCGGTTAAACACAGAAACATTGATGTAGCTGTAAATAACTTACATACAGTATTAGATAACATGGAAAAATGAAACGTAAACAGTCAAGTTCAAAAAGAGAAGAGAAACCCCACACGAAAAACATTCCATCAAATAGAAAAGAGAAAAAACTACATGGGAGTCTCAGTGGATCAAGGACTAACCTTTACACAACCTGTAGACCATCCATCCAAAAAAACAACAATAGTCAGAGCGGCAATAAGAAGACTCGTTGGTAGAAGAAGCAAATTAAGATTAATACCGAAAATAAGGCTGATTTACTCATATCATACTTCCAATAATAACATATGCATCTCTCGCATGGGAACTCATAAGTAAAACAAACAAATGAGGATACAAGCATCAGATAACAGCCTAAAAATATCGGTAAATTTACCCCGATACGTGTTTGAACGTTTCTTGTTTAGAGAACTGAAACAAGTAAGGGAAACATATATGATGGAAGAAAAAATAAGAACAAAGTTTGCTAAGCTAAAGAAGAGCTCGATACTGCGAGAGAACGCGTTCCATCGATGGAAGCAGAAAGGACCAAAACAGCAAATCCTGATCAACGTATAAAGGCTAGATAATCATTGCTCTATTAACAAAAGACAACAATGCACATTGCACTGTCAAATATAACAATGACTAATGATATTCCTTTTCAGACATCTGCTATCTCAGCATTCAGAGATAGCAGAAAATAGCGTCTTACGCTAACCTACTTTGATCGGGATAGAATATTTTGTTGGAGTTCTTGTATCCAGTACTTCCACACGACAAGCACTTTTCTGAAAAAGTGCCCCTATCGCGCATTAGAGTGTTATAGGAGGAAAATGATGGTCTGGAGCATTGGGGCGCGGTAGAGTCACTTCGTATTACACGAGTTGATCCTTCTTGTCAAAACAAATTGTAATACCCGAATATCATTCTAAGGGGTGTACAATTATCATTCGATGGGTTAAATTAAAATGCTTTCTTGCTTGAATTAGTTGTAGGGTTTTAATAAAATAAATAAGATATTACTTTTTTACTTTTATTGTTTTGTTAAGCTTTGTTTGTTATTTTTTTAGCTTGCGGAAAGAAAGTGAATGTAGAAACAACTGCACTTGTTTGGGGTGGCAGAAAAGTCAATGACTTTGAATTCCCATGGGTAATAGCGGTATTTAAGATTTTAGAAACAGATTACGAGAATATATGTGGAGGAACATTAATAGGCAGAAGAGTTGTTATAACTGGTAATTACGATTCAATACAACTTAATTGAAACCAGACAAAAGTTTTATTAGGTTTTAAATATATGTATATATATATATATATATATATATATATATATATATATATATATATATAATATATATATATATATATACATATATATATATATATATATATATATATAATATATATATATATATGAAACGTGTACTCTTCGTCATTCGTTAAGTCCTTTAACAGGGAGCTACAAATGTGATGAATAATTTGTTAGAGTTTGTATAATTAATTAAAAATTCGCTACTTACAAACTTAATGAGGTTGTTTAATGATTTTCTATAATGTTAATAAAATTTATCACAGTCTGTCATATTATATATATATATATATATATATATATATATATATATATATATATATTATATATATATATATATATATATATATATATATATATATAAATAGAATGAAACCTAGAGCTAAGATTAATATTATTACTAAAATTAATATCAAACTCACCAGTCTTCCGGGTTGAACCGCGTCGATATTCATTTTGCCGAGCTTTCGGCATCCTCTCTGATGCCTTCCTCAGGGATGTCGAGGTCTCAGTCTCCCGAGACCCCAGACACTACTACACTGTTCACTTGTCACCACTACGGCACTGTCACTACAGTAGTGACAAATGAACAGTGTAGTAGTGTCTGGGGGCTCGGGAGACTGAGACCTCGGAAGCCCTGAGGAAGGCATCAGAGAGGATGCCGAAAGCTCGGCAAAATGAATATCGACGCGGTTCAATATTAACTTTAGTAATAATATTAATCTTAGCTCTAGGTTCCATTGTACTAACCGCGGAAATCTTTCCGAAATATATATATATATATATATATATATATATATATATATATATATATATATATATATATATAAATAACCGAACATTCATATAAAAGAATTATCTTTATTTAGCTGCTCACTGTGTTACCGATACTTATGGTAATGCTCTGGATAAAAACAAATTTCAAGTTGCAGCTGGAAAAGTTTACAATGCCTTTGGGGATGAACGAGATATACATGCTCAGTATCGAAAGGTAAGTTCTAAAATATATAAAGTAGCTCTTTGCGTAGTTGGCTCATGGATTGTTGGAATATGTTATTCCATTATTTTCCATTGTTTATTTAATTTGTTCTGTCAAGGTCACCAATATATTTTATAACATTCTCTTTTCATCTGGTTAACAATAAACCTTATGACTGTCTTACCACTTATGCTTCAAATAAGCTAGAGCTTGTCCAAGATTCTCGATATTCGGTTTTTGTCACATACCTCTTCTTTGCCATTTCGCCTTCGTTGTTTTTATCTGATGTAGATATAGTACCAGTTAGGTTGGTTCCATTGCTTTATATTTTTCTATTTTCGATTTATTTTTATTACATTTTTGTAAACCCTATAAAAAAGAACGTTCATAGTTAAGTACATCAAACTGTCCAGTAAAAATACGCGAATACGTAAAAAAAAACATTTACAGACGATATTAGAAACAAAAACAACTGCGATAACAAAAATTTAATAAAGATTGGCATCAAAAAAGCATTCTTTAGAGTCAAAAAAGAGAATATGTACTCATAACTAAAAGAAATTAAGACAATGAATTAAAAAGTTTGTGTATTGGGACCAGTACTTTACTCCTTACGTAATAATAATGTCCTTAAAATAAAAGACATGATGGCGGCTTTTACGTATGACAAAGCTATCTTATCAATTGGGGGAAATCATGAAGAAATTGCACAAAAACTGCAAATATAAATAAATTAATAAAATACAAGATTGGCAAAATCGGGGCGTACTCATATAAACTTTATCAATAAAAAAGAACGGTTTTAGGTTAGTAGAATATGTGCCAAATAGATACGTGTCACAGATTCCACCACATACCTAGGATTATGTTAAGACAAGAGACTGTGATGAAGAGTCCATATAAAAAAAAAATATAAACCCAGTTATATGCATCAAGGCCAAAAAATGCCTGCCTTAACATGTGGATGTCAAGGCAAATCGATTTCTAAACAACGCGGATCTAGAAAAAAGTATGAAGGAAAAATCCCTTAAAGTTGGTGAAATGAATTTGGTGATTATTAAACTAGAACTTAGTGCGGCTTAGTAAGTACGATAAAAAATATTAATGTACAAAATGTACTCCGTGTGGATGTTGTCTGTCGCCCATCGGACACGTCCCCAGGTGGTGGATAGGGGAACGCCCTAACCAGTCCTAGGACTGGCGGGTAGGTGGAATATAAAATACCACCCGTGAACCAAAACAGACTGGTATGGCAACCCAACAGAGTCCCTGGACCTCCAGGTTAGGGATTAGGCTAGAGGCTAACAACCTCTTCCTGCAAAAATAATATGTTACGGAACCTCAAGAACTATTAGCCGGACGGAACTTACGACGACGACTCTGCAAACGAAAAATGGAATTAAGATTAGGAACGTGGAACACCCGAACCCTGTACCGAGCTGGAGCACTCACATCTCTACTAGACATAGTGAACATGTACAGAGTAGATGTTTTGGCACTGCAGGAAATGCGATGAAGGGGAACAGGCATTCTTGACAAGAAAACCCACTCCATATATTATAGCTGCAATGAAAACCAACACATAGGTGGAGTGGGATTTATAGTAAACCAAAGAATAAAAGGCCTAGCTATTGATTTTAAAGCCTACAGTCAAATAATGTGCTATTTACGCTTAAAAGGTAAATTCTTTAATTACAATTTAATTATTGTACATGCCCCAACCGACGACAAACTAGAAGACGTTAAAGAACAGTTTTTCGAAGACCTAGAACAAGCCTATAGAAGATGCCCCAGAAATGACATCAAGATAGTTCTAGGTGACATGAATGCAAGAATAGGACGAGAGCGAATTTTTATGCCGACTATAGGCAGGCATAGCCTACACAACATTAGTAGCAATAACGTATTACGACTGATAAACTTAGCAGCAGCACTGAACATGACCGTCGCTAGCACCTATTTTGAAGATAAGAATATACACAAGGTAACCTGGACCTCCCCTGATGGAAGAACAACTAGTCAGATTGATCACATCTTAATAGATTCAAGACACGGAAAGGACATAATGAAATGCAGAAGTTATAGAGGCGCAAACATAGACTCAGACCACTGTTTAGTGGTCTCAACACTAAGGGCTAGAATTTCAAATTCCAACAAAGAAAAAAAATAGATACAAAGAAATGGAATGTTCAGAAGCTGAGAGATGCAACTGTTGCAAAACAGTACTGAGAAAATATTACCAATAGGTTAAGAAATAGACTCCTACTGAAACATGATAAAGGAAGATATTGAGTTAGCAGCACAAGATGAGATAGGAACATAAACTTGTACCCGAAAAAATTACTGGTTTGACGATGAATTCAAAGACACAACACAGAAAAAAAAATTAAGCTTATGCAAAAATGCTTACCCGCCGGACTAGAACAAGTGTAGAGAATTACCAGACAAAGAGAAGAGAAGAAAAGAAACTACATAGAATGAAGAATCGAAACCACTTAAAAAAGGAACTTCAATATATAGAAAACCTCAACAGAGAGGAAGAATTCAGAACATTCTATAAGAAAGTTAACACCAACAGAAATGAATTCAAAGCAAACACAAATCAATGTAGAAGTTTGAATGACGATCTATTAACAACAATAACAGACGTACTAAATCGATGGACGGAATATATTAACCAGATACTTAATATAGAGGAAGAAGAATAAAACCCGGAAGACGAAAGCTGTGAGGTAAGCGGAGCAGACGAGAAGAAGTAGAATCCACCAACGATCCTGGAACTTAAAGACGCTGTAAACAAACTAGCCAGAAACAAATCACCCGGAATAGATAATCTGCCAGCGGAATTATATAAAGAAGATGACGAAGATATCATAATACCGCTATAGCAGCGTATAAAAGAAATATTGATACAGAAGTCCCTTCCCAGTAATTGAAATATTGGAATACTTTGCACCATACACAAAAAGGAAGATATCTTTGAATGCTCTAACTATCGAGGAATTATGCTCCTAAATGCAATGTATAAAATATTCTCCAATATACTATGCCATTGTGTGGCACCGTATGCAGAGCGAATAATAGGACAATACCAGGCTAGTTTCAGAGGTGGTAAATCAACAATTCATCAGATTTCAACCCTGAGACAAATTCTAGAGAAAACTCTGGAATACGGTGTAGACACGCACCACATATTTATAGACTACAAGGCAGCCTTCGACTCTGTAAATAGAAAAGAATTGTTTAGAACAATGATAGACCTGGGAGTACCAAATCAGTTGGTAAGTCTAACCAAACTAACCCTTGAAAAAGTTTAATGCAGAGTACGAATCCAGGGGCTACACCTTTTAATACAAATAACAGGCTACGTCAGGGAGACCCACTTTCCTGTACACTATTTAATCTAGCTCTGGAAAAGGTAATACGTACGTCACAAATCACAACTACCGGTTCAATATATAACAAATCTGTGCAAATTCTAGCATATGCCGATGATATCAATATTGTTGGGAGAACGGAAAACGCAGCACGAAAGGCGTATGTAGCACTAAAGGAAGCGGCTAAAAAAATGGGTTTAATAATAAACATTAATAAAACGAAATACATGAAAATAGGTCCTCGACCACAAATACGACGGCCACTTGTTATAGAAAACAACGTCATCGAAGCAGTTAACGAATTTGTATACCTGGGAACGCTCGTCAATACTGAAAATGACACTACCGCAGAGATAAACAGCAGAATTTGCACGGCTAATAGATGCTATTTTGGCCTTAACCTCCTATTTAAATCTGCAGTTATATCAAGAAATACACAAGTAAAACTCTACAAAAAAATAATACGCCCAGTCCTAACATATGTATTGTTCTCAAGCTATTTTCTTGTGGCAATGTAAATTAATTACTATTTAACTGGGATTAAGCCACAATTAAAGATAAAAATACGTTTATTGACGTTTTAATTTCCACTTCGGAAATCGTTCTCAAAATACAAAATTAAAATAAACGTATTTTTATCTTTAATTGTGGCTTATTCCCAGTTAAATAGTAATTAATCCTAACATATGGTTCAGAAACCTGGACTTTAACAAAAAGCAATGAAAACATGTTAGAATGTTTCGAAAGAAAAATACTGAGGCGAATCTATAGAGCGGTAAATGAAAATGGTGTCTGGAGAAGACGATACAACTTCAAACTCTATAGAATATACTAGGATCCAGATATCATAAAACACATTAAGATAGGACGGCTGAGGTGGGTGGGCCATGTAAAGCGGATGGAGCAAACCGACCCAGCTAGAAAAACGCTCCTTGATAGACCTGTTGGTCAAAGAAGAAGAGGAAGACCCAGAACAAGATTCCTATATAACATAGACCAAGATATGAGAAATATGGAAATACGTGCTTGGCGGAGGAAAGCGATGGATAGGGACGACTGGAAGAGAATTATTGGGGAGGCTAGGACCCACACAGGGTTGTAAAGCAAAAATGATGATGTAAAAAATGTACAATGTACAAAATATTATTCATGTAATAAGTAGATTAGACTCTTTATGAAGGTTAATGAATGTAAGATCTTCTTATGAAATTTTAAGCAACAAAAAAATTGTACATAAATCGGTCGCATCAAATTTTGGTAATAAGAATATCCTTTAATGGTTTTCTTTAAAAAGAAAATTTTCAAAACAACTTATAAGTGTGTTTCAACTTCTAGGTTTCACTTAAGTAAATTGTACTTGATCATGTAGATGTTTAATTTTTATTAGACATGTACTGGGTTTTCATTAAGATCTTTAATATTATTTTATAGATGTTTAACCGCTTCTTTTTTCGAAATAGACAAACTTTTTCACTTTCAAGTTTACAGAATACTGAAAAAATGCATTTATAAAATAACATTCATATGCATTTTAGATAGCAAAAGTAATTGTTCACACTGGATATAGAGGGGAAAGTCAAAGATACATTGCTGATGTGGCTCTACTCATTACACAAGAGTTTTTCAACCTTAATCCAATTGTTCAGCCAGCATGTATTGATAATATGAATAGCGTATATTTAACTAATTATCAAATAGGCGAGGTAAGTGTTAAGATATAAAAAAAAATTAGGTCTAATCAAACCATCATCAATGATAATTGAACATTTGCAAAAAAAACTACTTACAATATAATTTAAAAAAAAACTATGGTTTACATTTAAAAGGATATTTAAATTAAAAGTGCAATTAAAAAATATCGACAATTCTAGATTTTAGGTAAATGGAAACAATACTGCATGGGGTAATTGCAGGGTGGATTGAATAATCCGGATAAAATGTGAGGTGTGATTGGTAAGGTTAGCAACCTACCAGTCATAAAAACGAATATTGCTCAAAGAAACATTTTCTTGCCTCAGAACAGGAATAATACTATGACGATGATCACGGCAAGAAATAAAGACAAGCGAAAATTATTAAAACACCCAGATGTCAATTACTCAATGGAATATCAGGTTGCTCAACTTGATACTATACTTATGCTAATGTTTTAGTTAGACAAATTAAAAGAGACACTGACATAGCTTTTTAAAACAGATGTAACACGACTTCCATGGAACATGGAAAGAAATATGGAGAATGATCAAAGGACAAAGAAAAGATATGAACGAACTAATAAAGACGAAACACTTTTAGAAAGAACATACGCAGATGTTCCTACTTTCGAGCCCTATTTGCTAAAGGTGACAATAATAACCATAACAACCATAAACAACTACTAAAACTAATCAAAAAAAGTAATAGAGCAAAAACAGAATTCCTCAAGAATGGAGATTAAGCATTCTAATACCTCTCTTTAAAAAGGGAGACAAATCAGACCCGAAAACTTACCGAGGAATTAATTAATTAAGATAACACTACAATTTACGACCAAAGTAATAACAAATAAACTGATTGAAATTAGAACACTAGCAGAAGAACAATTTTGGGTCGGGAAGATCATGCACCGACGCTATGTTTATAATGAGACAAGTACAAGAGCTATCACTAGAATACAACAAACTGGCATATCTATATTTCGTGTCCTTAAGAAGGCATTTGACCTGGTCAAATTAAAGGATGTTGTCCAGTTACTCTATGCAATAGAAATACATTTAGAAATAATCAAAACGGTCGAAAAAATCTACCAAAACAACACAATAAAACTAAAAGAAGAAGAAGAACTTACTGACCTTATTGAAGCTGAAAATGGGATAAGACAGGAAGATTCCCTAAGTCCTCTATTGTTCAACCTGATTATAGATGAAATAATAAAAAAGTGAGAACTAAAAAAGGATACTAAATGGGAAAAAAACAACAACACAATACTACTCTCTCAAAATGATGATATACAATGTATACTGCACCAATTTAATAACTGTCAAAAATTTAACATGTTAATTTCCCCAAATAAGACAAAATGCATGCTTATGACAGTAAATTTACTAAGATGTAAATTAAAGCTCGAAGGTCACAGAACAAGTCGCACCATCAACGCAAGACTATCACAACTCAAAAATTACCATTTTTGGTTTTTGATGAATCTGTAATGGTAATGGTTATTCTAATATAATGAAAAAGTATTATAACTCAAAATTTAATATTAAGACCATTATTCTGGGGTTAGTTTAGTTTTAAATTTATTCGAAATGAAATAACTAATGAGTGCAAGACTATCACTTTTTAGTTATGATAGTATTGTATTTAATACGCTACCCAGAAAACTCTGCAAGACTATCACAACTCCAACGCTGCTAGATTTCGAGGCCTAATTAGGGTTTAATATGTATTATTATTAGCACGTCGTGTGAGTGTAGTTTTCAGTTGTTCTATACTTTACTTTTAATTTGTTATTTTTATTATTAAAACCACAGAAAACAACCCAAAATGAGTGGAAAAGTGACTACAAGATGTACAAAATTAGTAGAACTCGGAGCAAAAGCACAGAAAGTAAGTATAAATTAGGTACTTTTAGTTTTATATGTAAATGCATTTGTGACAAATATAAAATTGTAAGGTTATGTTATTACGGTTATCCATCTATGTCACATTATTCTAATGGAATATTAGGAAAGGAAACATCTTAATTGTTTTTATTAGTTCACAATATTTTAACGAAAAAGAGATAAAATTGCCATCGGTTTCTTGTCAGTCAGCATTTTTACATACATGAGTATAAGTTTTTGTTTATGTTTACGTTTAGAAAATGTAGATATTATGCACGAAATTCATATTGAATTACATAAAGCTGTAATTGGATATTGCATAAAATATTCATCTTCATTTTTATATTATTTGTAGTGGTAATAAATTGTACCATTAATATTTCGTGAAAAATATTTTAGGTTGTGTAATCATTTATGGGGTACTACGACTAACATTTTTACAATAATTTTATGCAATATAAAATACCTATAACTTATACCTTTAATTTTTGAATGATAATTATTGAAAATAGTTGATATTTACTTCGGTTGTTTTTTTTTTGTTACAGTTAAAGGATATGGAAGAATATGTATTATTGAATCCGAGGATATGACTCATGTTAAACCAGTGTTGCTGTCATGTAGTCCTGATGAAGACTTTAATTATGATGCTGGTGATACAGGTAGCCCTAAAATATATACTACTTTAGACAATACACTGAATTGATATATCTCAGAATGAAAATGACGATAGCGATGATCTAAACTAGGTAAATATTCCTGAAGACATTGATACGTCCGATACTAAAAACGAACATTCAGATCAATATCCACAATCAGAAAATGATGACAGCGTACTCAACAAAATGTAATAACTGACTTACAAAGTACATCAGCAGAACAAACGAATGATGAGGCAAATGATATTATGAACAAAAAGCCACGTAAAAGAATTTGTAATTCGTCTAAATGGAAGCGAAATATAAAAATAAATAAGTTGAATTCTGGTCAATCTTATGCGAATTCATCAGGTAAGCCAATTAGCAAGAAAACTTGTAAAACACCATGTGGTAGCAGTTGCCGTTTAAAGTGTACCTCTAACATTAATAATGAAGACAGTGAAAAAATTTTAACTAGTTTTTATTGTTTGAATGATATTACCAGGAGGAGGGATTTTATTGTAAATTGTATCAGCCAGATTACACCAGAATACGAATATAAGAAGGAAAGAAGTAACAGATAAAAAAATTTTGCCTTCCATTTTGTTGTTAATGGAGCTAAAGTTAGAGTGTGTAAACACTTTTTTGTTAGTACTTTGTCTATTAGCACTATGATGGTAAGGACTGCTTTAAAAAAATTAAATACAGAAGGCATGGTTGAAAGTGATATGTGTGGAAGACATAGACATCAAAAATCGACCAGTACTGCCATATTAAAAGGTATTCGTCAACATATTGAATCAATTGCAAGGATTGAATCCCACTATTTAAGGGCAAAAACATCTCGAGAATACATTGATGGAAGCCTTAATTTGGCTACTCTATATAGGATGTGCAAAGAAAAATGTGAGGAACAAAATGAACCTTATGATAAACAGCCTATTTATGCAAAAATATTTAATACCGAATACATTGGTCTATTCAAACCTAAAAAAGATCAATGCAATTTATGCCAGAAGTATGAAAATAGCTCTCCAGAAGAAAAAAAATTAAAGGATGAGGAATATAAAACTCACATTAGACATAAAGAACAAGCAAGGACCGAAAAACAGAACTATGTAGAACAATCAAGAAAAAATCAAGATAAAAGCATTGTTCTAGTGTATGATTTACAAGCTATATTACCAACTCCTTTAGGAAAATCTTCAGCATTTTATTATAAAAGTAAGCTAGGTACTTTCAATTTTACTGTTTCCAATATTACAAATAGAAAAGCTATGTGCTACGTGTGGCATGAAGCCATAGCTAATAGAGGTTCAAATGAAATTGGTAGTTTAGTATTTAGTTATCTAAAAGACTATTGTGTTGATAAAGAAACAGCAATATTTTATTCTGATAACTGCTGTGGACAGAATAAAAACAAATATGTTTTTGCTATGTATTTATATGCTGTTAATGTATTACCAATTTCAATAATCTATCATAAATATTTAACAGTAGGACATACCCAAAACGAGGGCGATAGTGTTCACTCAACTATAGAGAAAGAAAAAGAAAGAATGCTTAGGAGTACCTCTATCTATGTTCCGTCTCAATGGGTTCCAGTTATCGCACTGGCAAAGAAAAAAGATAAACCATATTCCACCATCCAAGTCCAGACTGAAAACGTTTACGATTTAAAAAATCTTAGTGCAACAATGGGTAAAAATTATTCTATCGACACAAAAGGGCAAAAGGTCTGCTGGAATGAAATAAAAATTTGTAAATTTGAAAAATGTCATCCAGAGTCGATATTTTATAAAACTAACTTTGATGACAAAGAATTTTCTGAAATAAAAATTAGAGACAAAGCTAGAGGCCCTCAGAAAACAGTGGCTAATATTAGTCTTGTTCCTGCTTTTAACGTACCACCAGCGATAACAACTAAGAAAAAGGCTGACTTAGTTTCATTGTGTAATGACTTGGCCATTCCCAAAGAACATCATAAATTTTACATGGACATGAAAGCCAAATCAACTAAAGTGATGGAGGACTATGCCAATACGGAATGAAAATTACTATTATGTATTCACTATTTTGTTTAACATTAATAAAGTGTACTAAAATTATGGTGTTGTTATTGTTAACGTATTGTACTGCCTTTCAAATGATCAAATTTTACCCGTGCAAAACTATCACAAGTTGAAATTATATGAAAATAATTATTTACAAAGTTTTAATTTATATTTTGTATATAGTAATATGAAAAGTAAAAACTATTAGAAACTCACAAAAAAGAATAACTACAATAACTTTATTTAAGTTATTAAAATTATATTTTAGACCAAAATGAAATTGTTGATTCTGTAAAATGCGACTTTTTGAGTTGTGATAGTCTTGTATTGATGGTGCGAAGTGATGAAGTTTAAATATCTAGGCATAATATTATCTAGCCACGAAAAGCTCCAAACAAAATTGGAAGATCGAGTGAATAGAGTAAACAGACGTGCAGGTTGCCTGAATGAAACAATGTGAAGAAATAAAAATATCGGAAAAGAAATAAAAGGCACAATTTACAAAACAGTCATCAGACTAAAAATGACATACTCGGCAGTAACACGACCTGACATAGAGAGTAGTAAAGATGGCAAGAGACGGTTTCCCAATAGGAAGACGATCAGTAAGAAGACCACGAAAACGATGGAACGACAACTTACTGGATTCATGTCTACATAAAAACAAGACATAGAAGATTAAGAATAAGAGGAAGAAGAACTAAATGATAACACACTGCGCTCTTACTGGAAAATGGAAAACACCTCTGGATCAAATAAAAGTTAGCAACTAACTTGTTTTAGCAAGTTGTTTATCTTTAAAAAGAGAATCTCACCTGATCATGACAGTACAATTCTCTCGTTATACATTCCATTGTAAATAATGAGGAAAAGCCAAAAAAAAGTCATGATACTATCCCAACATTTGGTCTTTCATTTAGTTTATTCTCAATATTAACATCAAGCTCTAATTCTGTATGTATGTGATTAAAAAAAAACAAAGAAATAAATCCTCGAAATGTTATTGAATTGTTTTAAAAAAATGTTTTAATATTATTTTTATACTTTCAAAAGTTATAAATAATTTACTGATTTCGTATCTTTTGTTCGGGACAGGTGTTGTGTTTTTCCGCTTAAAAAAGTATTAGAAAAACAAATTTCTTTAGCTTAGTGTAAATTTTTTTTACTAAAGTAATTTTGTTCCAGCTTTTAATAAATGAATATACAGGTAACATTTAATATTAATTACAATTTTCAGGTAGCTGGTTGGGGCCTTACTGAAGAAGAAAAGCCCTCAGAAATTCTCAAAGCAATAAAAATACCATACAAAGATAGTGCCACGTGTGCTAAGGAACTACCACAAAGTTGGGAGCAACAATATAATTTTTTTGATAAAATTTGTGCTGGCCGTCAGAATGAAGGTATTGCAGTGTGTAAAGGAGATAGTGGTAGCGGACTTGTTTTTAAAAATCGAGAAGACAATAGGTATAAAGTTATTATATCGATTACAGAATCTCATAATTTCATATTCATATCAGAATTTCATACTGATCAATAGAAATAAAAAGAAATACCAACACAATCAATGACAAACAAGATACACAGAACCTGAATAAAATGACCTTAATGTCATATCCTATCTCCACTTTACCTTTTTCGAAAACACCGTTTGCCGTTTACAATTATATTTTAAATCACCCTGTATATTTTTATTGTGTAATTTTATTGTGTTTTAATTGTTTCTTGGTTGTTTTTGTTTGCTCTGTTTTTATATTTAATTACTAGTGACCTAGGTGCTTTTAAACAATACTGTCAGTACTGTTTTAAACATATTATGTACAACAACTTGTTTAAATATTTTTAACCTAAATATGTAAGTGATTCATTGTTTATTCTCACCTGATTTCTATATAACTTTTAACCATATTTAATTTGTCTCCTGATGAAGCTGACATTATCACCTTTCTTAGACAAAATAAACTGGAAGAAATACATCACAAAATATTAGACGACGTCTACGATGAAACCAATATAGATTTTAACTTGTCAAGGATTAATATATTTGGTAGTAAAACTGTCAAAAATCGGAAATATTTTATCATTCCCCTTCCTTTTGATCCCGAAACAGTAGTACAACACCTATTCTATATCGTTTATATCGCAGAAAATGAATTTAACCTATCGCAAATCTATTACGTCGAAAATCAAGTCGAATTACCAATTCTAGAAATATTTTTATTTATCTTTGCCGATAAAGAAATAAAACTGAGAATCTGTCAAGATGTCATTAAAACTCCGGAACAGGACGAAATACCCCAAATACTAGATCATTATCACCGTGGTAAAAGCAATCTCCATCCGGGTATAAATGAGACTATACGAAGAATAAAAGATAAGTATAATTGGCAAGGCATTACAAAGGATGTAGAAAATTTTATAAAAAAATTGCGAAATCTGTCAAAAGGTAAAGATCTGTAGAAAAAACTTAAGTAACCCTTTAGTCATCACCGAAACACCTAAAACACCGTTCGAAAGAATTAACACAGATCTTTTTGAATACCCTACCAGAAATTACGCATTAACTATCAGAGACGAGATCACTAAATTCACATAGGCGTATCCTCTTGAAGATAAAACAGCTAAATCAGTCCTCAATCATCTTATTATCTTTTTCCAACACTATGGCACACCATTACGCATACACTGTGACTATGGACGTAAATTCGACAATGCTTTGATGAAAGATCTTTGTGAATTGTACGACATAAAACTAACCTTCTCAAGTGTGGGCCATCCACAATCTAATTCTATCCGGTTCTATCGAAAGATTTCACGCAACCCTAAGCGAAATGATAAGACCCGATGAACATCCGTTCAATGTTCTGCCTTATGCAGTTATTTGCTACAATAACACAAAAAACAAAACCCACGGATTTACACCATATGAACTCATTTATGGACATTCTTTTTTTAGACCACCCGAAATACTTTACAATGGAAAATCCTTATATCAAAATACGTTAGAGACTTAAGTAATCGTATGCAATATTTCTATAAAATGGCACGAGCCAAGACGGAAAGACAAAAAGAGAAGGCTAAAGAAAGATTCGATCAACACGTATCATCAAACCCTCCAGAATATAAAATAGGCGATAAGGTTTACTTTGAGGGTGTACAAGGCAACTATCGAACACGGTGATTAATTTAATCTTGCCCAAGTACTTTCGATCAATAGATCATCTTCAGGGGCATTTCGTCAATTGTGGCCTATCCGACATAGTAGAATGTCATAAATGTAAAATCTGGACATAACAATACAAAATACACTACACTAAGACAAACAAACACTTTAAAATTTATATGGAGAAGCTACATATTGTGAAGAAGCCGGAGACAGAATGGGCTCCCGGTCTGACGGAAATGTAGAGATGACATGTGACATGTGTGTGTTTTATTGGCACTGGTTTTGACAACCAACTGGCCAGTCAATTTGTTTTAAGTTCTCTCTTTACAAAAGATATTGTTAGTATTTACATTTAAAACTATAAATTGTATTGTATTGACAGTTAAGACATGGAATGTTAGAAACTTATTTACTAGATTACTCTGTTTTTACTGTTTTGTGTTTTGTATCTTTTTTTTTATTTTTTTTTATTTATTTTTTCTATTTTTTTTTATTACTACGCTAGGACATAAACCCGATTCGACACCTCGGAGGTTTAGATCTTCTTAGTATTTTTTTTTTATTTTGTTCTTCATTTTTTTTTATTCTTTATTATTCTTTTTATCAGAGCTTTAATTTTAAACAATTAATATGACTATATAAAATTTTATATACATCTAGATTCTTTGACTCTAAAAGATGTGTTAGATTACAAGGTAATTGAACATTAACTTGAACTAGCTTAGTAAAAAAATTTGATATTTCAATAAAATGTAAAGGACATTCTAACAGCATATGTTGTAGATCAGCTAGCTCTCCACATATACATTCATTATTATTTGCCAGTCCCATTTTTCTTTTGTAGACTGGAGTCATACAATGATTGCTTCTTATTCTACAAATAGTTTTGATGAAGCCTCTGTTGGAAACTTGTTTAAACCATGTCTTGACGGTAATTTTGGGTTGGATTATTTTATAAAATTTGCCTTTGTCCGAATTGTTGTAGTGTCCCTGCCATTTGGTCCGTTTGAGAGACCTGATTACAGATATTAACTCTCCCATAGGAAGTTGATAGGTTTGAAGAGTGGATTCTTTCATTGTTGCTTTTTTTGCCAGATCATCTACTATTTCGTTGTTTTTTATACCAATATGTGCTTTTATCCAGCACAATATGATATTTTTGCCCGATTTCAAAGCTTCACTGTTCAATGCTATAATGTCACTGATGATATAATTTTCTACAAAAGTATGTAAATTATATTTTAGTTTATGTACAATGCTTTGGCAGTCTGTAAATATAACATAGTTTAGTTCTTTTTGATTCATACATATTTTGTAGGCTTCTTTGACTGCTATGAGTTCAGCTGTGAAAGTTGTCATTTTGTCGGGTAATCTGTTGTTTATCTTTATATTTTTTTGGGGGTAGAATATAGCATATCCAACTTTGCCGTCCATTTTTGAACCATCTGTATATAATTTTTGATAACTTCCCCAATGACTTTATACATACTGAAGGTGATCTATTTTAGTAAGAAAATCTGTGGCAAGAATATTACTTAAATGGCAGTTAAATGGAGATAAATAATCTTCATAGTTTAATTTTCGAGATGAGGGTTGTTTCATTTTGCATATGTCGTCAATATAAATAGAAACGTTGAGAAAACTTTCCACAACTAAAAGCTGCTTCTTTTTTTCCCAGTAATGATGAGTTAGGTATGTAGTGGTTAATTGTACAATTTTATTTAACAACAGTTTATTGTTAACTGCCACTTTAACTATAAATTTTTCACTTCAGAATTCTCTGCGTAATGAAAGTGGAGGTTCATTAAGCTCACATTCCATGACCAATATGGGAGTACTACGAAGATAACCAGTGCTTAATCTAAGTGCCTTATTTTTTATACTTTCGATTTTTTGGAGTAGAGCGTTTGATGCTGAGCCATAAAATATAGATCCGTAATCTAGGATGGATCTCATTAAATTTCTGTATAGTAATATTGAGATGTTTGGATCAGCTCCCCAGTTACTGACATTTACAGTCTTGATGATATTCATTGCGTTTTCCGTTCTTCTTAATATATAATTTGTGTGTTCTTTTCAATTTAATTTTGAGTCTAAGAACACGCCGCCAAGAAATTTTATTGAAGTTTTATAATTAATTTTATAATTATCAAATTGTAGGTGGTTTGGGGGAGAATAACGTTTTCTGGTAAAAGTAACAATGGTTGATTTACTCTCCGAGATTGTTTAATTCTTATCCGCCGCCCATTTTTTTTATAATATTCAATCCTGATTTAAGGTTTTCATTACATTTATCTATTGACTTATTTTCTACATAGATTGCAACATCATCAGCATACTGTAAGATTTTTATGTGTCGAGGAAGTTTATTTTCTAAATCAGCAGTATACAGAATATATAATAGAGGACTCAAGATGCTACCTTGTGGTAGTCCCAAAGATGTGTACCGTGTGTTAGATTTATCACCATTTAATCTAACGTGTACTGATCGATTAATATACAAATTAATGATATTCCATGTTACAGTTTCAGGTATTCCTATTTCCAACATTTTCGCATATAGAATGTGAAGATTAACATTGTCATAAGCCCCTTTTATATCTAAAAACAAAGCACTAACTGCTTTCTTACAAGTAAATGAACCATAAATGTCTATCAATAAGTGACTCAGGCTTTCTTGTGTGGATTTACCTTTTCTAAAACCAAACTGAGTTTTTGGTAATAGGTCGTTCTTTTCTAACCAAAATTCCAGATGGTTTTTAATAAGTCTTTCATATGTTTTAAGTATACATGAAGCCAGCCCTATTGGACGGTAAGAATCCCAATTATTTAATGTTTTTCCGGGTTTCAAGATCGGAAGAATAGTATAGTGCCAATCGTCAGGAATCTTTATGCGCCGTGACCAAATTTCATTGTATATATTCATAAGCACAGTCTTACCAATTTCTGAAAGATTTGATAGCATCGAGTAATGGATTTCATCAGCACCTAGTGCTAAATTTGAATTTTTCTTTAACGAAAAGTAAAGTTCAGTGTCAGAAAATGGTTTGATTAAGAAGCGGATTTGTTCTGGATAATCGTATTACGCATTCAGTTGTAGATCAGGCATTACTAATTCTGCAGACAGTGGAGTGATATTTTGGTGGAACTCGTCTATCCATGAAGCTTTCGACAATATTATAGGGACTTTGTTCTTAGTTTTTCTATTTTTTAGTCTATTAACTTTTGACCATACATCTTTAATGGGAACCGACCTATTTAAGGACTTGACATAATCTCTCCAGGTATTTCTTTTAGCTTG